TTTATAAAATGCCAATTTAATCAAACGCACTTTAAGAAAGCTGAAGTTATTAACAGATGGAAACCTAAATTAAAAGTGGTAGAAAAGTTAACATGTACTTAAAAAATTGGTGATAAGTATACTTACCACGGTTTTCGAAAGGGTTAATGCATAAATACAAACCCGGAAGTACAAGCACCTCACAAATGCCAACTTGCTCTGGACGGTGAATAGATATTTTCACGTCGTCTTGTAATGCGTAATTCTTGGCTCAGTAAATTCAATTTACACATTTTTTACTCACCAATACTTCTAAATATTTCAAAGGCTCATGGGATACCACAGGCGACTATGAAAGGGCCGTAATGGCCTCAGACACCCAGTTCCACAACAACGAACGCACAGGCGACTATAATTGTTAAAAGTGGTAGAAACTCAATTCAGTTTTGTTAATTTATTATCTCTTTAATTATTTAATCGCAACTACCACACTAGGACTTGCAATTCAACTTAATCATAGTTAAAGCAACAACAACAAAAAATATAAATAAAATAATTAATTCACCCTCAGTGGTAAACTGGAAAAAAAAATGCTAATGAAAGATCATAATTTTAATCTGTTTTAATAAAATTTTGAATCTTATTAGTTATCTCTTTTCGAATTTATAGTCGCCCGTGACAATCCTGGATACGCCACTTAAGCAGGCTGTCAACAATCTACGCTTTTTGTAAAAATTTATTCTGGTAGTAAATAAATTAATATCTTAATGCATTATTTTCTTTAACCATTTAAAATCATTTTCCACACCACTACATACAAATGATTTAAAAGTTCATATGCAACGCCACTGTGTTCTAGCTCATGACCACTTGGATCAGTCTGCGTAGGGACCGAGGGTGTGCGGTATTGGTCCTCGTTAAACTGTTCTACCGTAAAGTGCTCGACTTCCCGTGCAGGTCGTTGGGCTACCGAAACAGGGGTGCCATCCTCTCTGCAGAGGATCAAAATTGCGATGGCGTGTCTTCGGATCATCCTCAGGGATGTTTCCCAGACCGTCGCCTATAGCCCATTGTGCAGCTCTAGTGCGACGTAAATTAACAACAACAACATCAAAATAATCCGGAAATCTTTTATTCGTTTATTATAACAATTTATCGCATCCGAAACAGTTAGCATCACTAAATTCTAAAATTTTCTACTATTTTAAAGATAAAAAAAAAGTTCACTTCTAAACGGTAGGTGGCATGTTATGTTGAATTATAGTGCATTTCTATAAAATATTCTTTTAAAAAGTAGTAAAATTTAACAAGTTAAATGTGTCTGGTGTACTTTTAGAAATAAAACCCTCACTTTTGACGATTCAGTAATGCTTGAGATGTATTTCGTTAATTTTGAGAATTATTTAGTAACGAAATCACGCTATTTCTGACTAAACCCGAACTTTCAAATAAGTGATGAAAATGTTTCCTCAATTCGGAACCTCATCGCAGTGCATTGTGGGAGATAGTAACTAGGAAAAAGATTTTGAAAACAAAGTGACGAAACAAGCCAATCAGGCTATATGGTGGTCAAGGAGTTGACCTCTTCCCATGAGGATCGAATCCCGTTTCGAGCATTTGTGCAGTTTCTATCTGCCCTGGGTTGTTTTGCTTGGGCGGCATTGATCCACCTATATGTTGCCTACGATAAAATGATTCTTAGATAAGTTAGACACTAAATTTTTATCTGTGTGTGTGTTTTGGAAAAAAATATAAGGAAGAAATATTTCTCTAATTTTGACGAAATTCGTTTCCTCGAAGGTGTTACTTAGACGAAATTTTTGCTCGGAACGTCAGAAAACGGTTTCGTCAAAATTTGAGAATCCATTTATTAGAGTGCGAGTATACACGTCGGACAAGAGAGTGAAAAAAAGCTAATTTTAATTTCACGAAATTAAAGAGTTTTTTTTAATTATTACTGACAACTTGCGCCATTTTCATAATTAGCTAAAACAAACGATAAAATAGACTGACAAACGATTGACAAAGCAGCTAACAGTTATGAATAACTCTTGTAAACTCACAACAGTTATAAGACTAGCATATTTTCGCAAAGAAACGCTATTTCGCGCTATTACAGAGCCTTCGAACACACAGCTTTAACCAGTTAAACGTGCTTGACGAGTATACACGCTACACTTAACTTTCTAGCGGTGCGTATGATGTGTCTACTCGTCGTGTAAAAAAATAATAAAAAAAAAAAAAATAGCATTGAATATATATCAAAACTCGAAATTTCAAAAAAGAAAAAAAAAATTTAAATGGGCTAATATCAAGCACAAACTCCTCTGAAACCCTTTTGATAACAACATCAATAAAAAAATTATAGGTTTTTAAGAAAATAATATGAAATGAAAAAAAATTTCATCGCCGATAACAGGCTGCCTATTGGCAAAATGGTTGCGGTCTAATTTTTTTCTCTTTTATTCATAACTCAAGAAGAATTTATGGGATCTCTCTGGTCCCATATGTCAAAAATAAGCTCACCAACTTAATGCATAACAAAATTAAAAGTGAAAAAAAGAATTCTAAAAAAATTATCAAACAGCAGCAGTTGTCATAGCAACGCATGCAATGACGATGCATGATGCACTCTTCACTATTACTCTTGAACACAGTTGAAAAGTGCGATGACGTCCAAATAAAGTGCGCACGCCATCAAACCCAAAACAACAACCATTTTGCCAATGGGTAAAAAAAAAAAAAATTCAATAACAATATTATTTGGATGGTATCCTTTCCCTTGAATTATCAATAGAATTGCTTTGTATTTTATATTGCGGGAAGCAAGGGGGGACCAGAAACCAATAGTACACTCAAGCCGTGAATTGGTCGGCGAGCAATAATTTACGCAAACAATTGCGCTGAAATTGCGTAAACAATTAGAAGGGCAAATATATTCCTTTTTCTCTACAAGGAAGAGTCCAAGACATTCTGGAATTGAATAAAAGAAACAGAAGCATTCGATCTAAAATCTCTCTTTCTCGTTTTTGAAGCATCAGAAACAGGACTGAAAGTAAGACAGAAAAGAAAAACTCGTTGCAAAAACAATTCATTTATAGCTGGATTTTGCGATTAGTAAAAGAAATTATTACCATTTTTAAATATAAACTATTTATCTCTATTTACTTTATCTAGGGTGGGGAAAAAAAGTCTCATGTGTATGTTATAACAGCTGAAAAAAATCTTGGTGGAAAGTGTTACATAAAATTTGCAATAGGATAATTTGCCCTGCATTCAACGTGTATGCATGCAAAGATGCCAACTTGCTCTGGATAGTGGATAAGTATTTTCGAGTGGTAGTCTTTTAATGTATGATACTTGGTTTAGTAAATTCGATTTATTCATCATTACTTCCAAATAATTCAAAAGCTTATGTGATATGCCTTTGAAAAAGACCTAAAATTTGCCTAGAATCCAAAATTAACCTAAAATCTACAAATTTTAGTTGTGTTTTTATTATTATTTTACAATTTTGAGTTAAGACTTTTTTTTTTTTTTACCCATTTTGAGTTTAAGACTACCAATGTTTGACTCCGTAGCCTTGTAATTTTGAACCCAGATCTTTTACCAATCGAGCATGTTCAGGACCTTCATGAACAACTTCAGTCTCCAACAGGCATGGAACTCCATCCCACAAAATGACAAACAACATCTGTATGATACACTGACATCTGTATGACTGAAACTTGAATCAATTAAATATATTACTCAGACAAACGCATTGCCGAAATTTCATTACTCTACAATTTTTTCTTGGTGTTGGGATTTTTTTCCATCAGTTATATATACATACATAAATACATACACACACACATATATATATATATATTATATTGTATACATATGCCAACAATAACATAGCTGCCAACTTGCACGGCCAATGAGAAGTTTTTCATTATTGTAGCAACATTAACATTTTGTCATATTAAATCTTGAAGTTAAAAGTTTCAATAAGAAATTTTAAACTACCTTGACAAATCAATAATTTTAAAAAAATGTAAATAAAATCTATTTGTTGGCTAATTATGTTTATAGAAGTCTTAATAGTCTTGTTTTTAGAAAATTCATCCCAACTTAATTGTTGTTTTACTACCACTTTGTGAAATCTTTTTCAAGGACTATACAAGATGGCAGGTTGGAAAATTTTGAGTTGCGAATTTAAGTTTTTGACATGTAAAATCTACAATGTAGTTTTTATAGCTTTTTTCGGTAGTTATTGTAGTGAATTTCCAAAGTTTTAAAAATCTCAATATTTTTAATACAACAAAATTGTGAGGCAATGATTTCGAATTTTATTTATCACTTTTCAACTCTTTATTTGAGTCCATTTCATAAATCCAAGTGACTTTTCAATTGTGTTTTTGGAAGTTGAATGGTGTTGTTGGATTTCCACGTTTTTTTTTTCAATCTCGAACTTTACTACGATATTATAATAACTCGCGACTTTCGAATCGGGCAAATAGTAATCACTTTTGACATGCTTTTTTTTGTGACAATTTTATCGTACATCCAGCTGTTTTTATAAATCCATGTCATGTTTTTGCCAATACGTATTTCTATACGTAGTTTTGAAAATAAAGATATTTTTAATTTAATATGACACTCTTATCGCGCATTTAAATGTGCGCTTTATTTTTGCAAATTTCATCACAAATCTAAGATTTTTTTTGTGAAAATCCTGATATTTTTGTTGAAGCGTACTTTTAAATGCCTTATGGTAAAACAAACTCTTTTTGAGAACTATCAATTGCAAAAAACCTAGCACTTGAATAAAATACAATTTTTAAAGCATTAGAAGGATGATAATTATTTATTATCGATTTTTATAATTCATTATTAAAAACAATATTTAACTTATGTAAAATGTTATACAAATTTTTATTACAAATATCAAAATATCTCTTATTATACAGCTTCAGCCTGGTTAAAACTGAAAAAATTCCAGATATGAAATTTTTTGTTCATTGAACAAGATAAAGTCATATTTAAATCTTTAATTTCAGAAATAATTACAGTTTTCCCAATTGATCTATAAGGTTGGACTCCCGAAAAATGAGTTCGCTGATCAGAACTCAATGAATAAGCACTATTATCAAGGAACAAAATGACATCCCATAAAATGTTACACAAATTGATTACATGAATAAAAAAGACTGAGTATACAGAAAACATATATTACCTATAAATAGAACTTAAAGAACCTGTTTAACACTATCTTTTCCTGCATAATTAAATATTTCAGCACAACTCAACTTCTCACTTTCAGCTCTTGATATATCATAAAACAAACATTTTTGTATAATTATCAAATCTTCTTAACTTAGTTTATACAATAAACAATTATGTATGGAATTTACAAAGGAAAACACATCTTCACTATATAATTGAATAGAGTTGGGAACAAAGACTGTTTCAACATAGTTCTGTTTAATATAGTTCTTAGATAAATCAATTATAGAGATAAGTAGGTGTTTTAATACAAAGATATAATTTTATAGTTTTCTATGCTTAATTTAGCTAATTTTTGAATATTATCATTAATGGATGTTATTTCAAGAGAACTTTTAGAGCTTTCTTCAAATAAATATTCATCATTACTTGATGATTGAGAGCTCCCTACAGTACCTGACTTACTCATAAGAAATAAATCTGAAGATCTCATCGAGAAAGGTTTCCAACTTGGCATTTTATCCCAATGAAAAAATTCACTTATTAATGAATTTATTTTAAGCTTGACAGCAATTTTGACATTACGTTCTACACCTCATCTGACACATTCTACAAAGTTCTTGGGTCAACTGATTTTAACTTTCTTTCTTCTTGATTTTGATGAAATATATGATTATTCAACTGAAGAAGGCAGAACAGACCAAGTGACACCACTAAAAAAAAATGTTTAAAAAAATTAAAAAATAGAAAACAAACCCAAAGTTTTAATTTTTTAAGAATTATAATTTCAGTAATTTGTAACTAAATCAAAAGAATTTCAGACAAAAGAAGTTTTAAGTGAAGTTTTCTTAAACGTCAGACTTCCTATTCAATTAATTTTTGTGGATTTTGAAAATTCTGTTGCACTTTCAAAATTTATTGCAAATTTCCTTTAAAAGTGATAGAATATGAATTTTATACCCAAATAAATATTTCCTTCTGCTGTTTTACACTACCTTTGCAAACTAAGTACTAATCAGTGCATGTAGATATTTCCCCGGGGGTGGCTATGGGTTATACATTTCAAGTTGGTCCTCTTCTGTAATGTTTTTTTAGTTTCTTGTGGGCCGCTGCCCGGAAGTTGCCAAGACTTGGCGATTATTCTGTGATAGATCACGATACGGAAATCTCCCTCTATTTTTGTCAATACAATTAATTTTTATAATATATGGTTTTAAAAAAGCATAGACTTGTATTGATGTAAAATAGGAAATGTTTTGTACTTTCATTGCTTGAATTCTAAAGTACAAGCATCTTTTTTTATAGGAGGTTGTAAGCATGCAGTTTCACTAATTACCTGGGTGCACAAGTGGAGTGAGGAGCTGTCTCCTACTTCAGTCAAATCTTACTGGAAAAAAGCAAAGCTGTGTGAAGTGGGCACAAAGCTTAAATTTGCTAAAGCTAGGGATATCCCTCTTCCAAAATTAGACAGAGATGATACAACCAATGATGGGTCCTTTTTACAAGCCATATTGAGTCATAGTAAAATGCTGGGTAGGGAGGACACTGCTATCACCAAATACTTCTGAGAAGAGAGAACAGTTGACAAGTTATCCCTGCATTTTCTATCAAGGGATTTTTTTATTGCTAACCCTGATGAATTTCTAAGCTATTGTAGCTTAATGATGAATAACTCAGCCTGTAGGGAAGCTGAACTTAGTACTGCAGAACAGGCAAAAAATCCTTTATGGTTTGAACTGCGTCATGCAAGAATCACTGCTTCTAAGATACATGAAGCAAGTCATTGTAATATCCTTGATCGATCATTGCAGGAATCGATTTTGGGTGCCCATAAGATGAGGGACACTAAAGCCATGGCGAAAGGCTGAATATTAGAGAGTTTAGTAAGAAAAGTTGTGGAAAAGGAAAGTAATATAAAGTTTAAAAAGTGTGAACTGAAATTGTCGTCAAAAATTCCTGTTCTTGGTACATCTGTGGATGGTCTAAGTGAAGGATATGTCCTTGAAATAAAATGTCCTTTCTCAGAAAAGGCTATGAAAATCTACAATGCCAATGGCATAATAAAACCAAAACATGCAGCCCAGATACAAATGTTTATGTATGGCAAAAAAAAAGGTTTGTTTTGCGTGGCGCATGTGAATTTTGAAACATCAAAAGATGCAGGCATCATTAAGGTGGAATATGATTCGAACTTTATAGAAAGACTTATTCCTGACAGTGTGAAATTTTGGAAAGAAGCGATCTATCCGACTTTAAAGAAACGTCTTTTGTAAATATTGTTTTGAGACAGTTGTTGCTTTTTTTATGCAACATATTTTAAATATGCATGTAATGTTCGCATATTCAGTTATGTTAATAAAAGAAAATCAATTTTGTACAATATTTTTATAAACTAGCAAATATGTGTTATAAGAATAAAAAAATTTAAACATATTGAAATACTAATGATTTATAAAACTAAATTTAAATTCCCACTAATTAAAGAATTCAAACTAATAAATGAATTGACATACAAAATTATTTGTGTTATAACACATTTTTACTGTAAAAATTGTGTAGCAATTTTTCTTTTTTTTAAAATTTGTTTAATTAGACCAAGTTTTTTCCAGAGCTACCTAAATTTACACTGAATCTCATTCTTATAAATAAACATAGTATGCATTCCTGTCGTGGAGTCCAATTATAAAAGTTGGTACTTTTATCTTTTGCCGTTGTAAGTGATGGTCACCGAACTAAGTTGCTAAGTTTTAATATTTTTTTGTAATTTCTTTTCTTATGCTATGTTTTATTTACCATGTTTTCTATGAGTTTTTGTTCATTACTGCAGCATGGAGCCCCAAATCTATAACACTATTGGCATTCTCAATCTTGGAATTTTTTGGATTCTCGGTATGAACTTAAAAAAACAACATATGCTATAAAAAAAGGTATAAGTTATCAATAAATTAAAATAAATATGAAATTTATTATTGAACCATTTTTTATTCTTTTAACTAGTTTCAAATTTTTTCATCAGTTTTAGTTTTTTAAAATTATTTATAATTAGCAGGTAAAAGGTTATGGAATTTGGGTTCTATATTATACAGGGTTATTCATAATTCCCTCCGGGCACGAACTGGACTATCGCATTGCGGTATGCCGTGTAACCAAGGGTTCACACATAGAACACCTGTAATGTATGTAAGTAAAACTTGAATAGTTTCTGAATAATTTCATATGTTTCTTTTTTTCATATTCGTCGTCTTTTTTTTACTATAACGTTTTGAAACCCCGGAGGGAATTATGAATAACCCTATATAATTCTAATTTTTTTAAGAGGGTCGATTGTGACTTAAATAAGTTCTGTATATTACATTTTCAAAATTAAATGAGAATTAAACATCAGACCTAAATCATATTTTTAATGAAATTATCTTGCATGTTTACTAAGCCGCACACAGTTATCACTATATCATCCAATTTTTGATGTGACTTTTGTCCACACAACTGTGAGGTGTTACCATTTTAAAATCTTCAATTAACCTTTCAACCAAATAATACCAATTAGCTTTCAACATGAATTTTCAATGGAGCTATCTGCTTTGATTGTTTAACTCCACTCTTGGTATTGCATTTTGATGCAAACACTGATGTCTAACTAATCTGCATGATTTTTCTTCCAAAACTTTTGCTACATCTTTGAAGCCTCTGTCAGCCATAATTAAGTCACCAGCAGTTAAGTGATCCAGGTATCCTGATCACTTGTCTTGCATGCACGATACTAAATATTTAATTGTATCACAATTATAGAAGTTTGACCACGTCATGGACTGATGGGCCGAATTGCTCGGTGTTTCAATTTCTAAGCAGTCTAATATTGAAACAACTTTACTATATCTTGCTCTGAAAGGAATAGGCAGTTTTTTATACATTTGTTTTTTAGTAGGCCATATAATTAAATTTTTCAAATTTTTTGCTATGGGAAAGATTTTTCGTAAATCCTGCAAATTTGTGTTTCACTCAGTCCAAAATCATCTCCTAAAATTGAAAAAGAGTCATTGAGTCTGATTTTCTTTAATACTATGAAAATCTCGAGAACACAATTTAGTTTTGTCTGACAGCACTCGAACTAAGAAAAATCTCTCTTTAGGAACACCTAAATATTTCTTCGGTCTTTTTTCAATCTTTAACATAGTTATTTTCAAACAGTCTTCGTTGAATATTTTGTGTTCAATTTTTTCATCTGTGCTGTCATCTGTACTTTCACTTGGCGTGCTGAGGCTCCATTCATATTCTGACGAATTACTTTCATCATCATTTTCTTGAACAACTTCAATATATGCATCTTCTTTTTTCTCTTTAAATAAAGGAGAGGTTGCTCTTGTTGTTGTAAGCTGTTTGATAGGTGACTAAGCCACTGTTGAAGTTGAAATAGGAATGGTACCTACTCTTTTGCTTATATGCCTTGTTACAACATTAGCTTGACAACCTTTGCTGTGTCCTGCTAAGCTCACTTGTTCATTCACTTGTAAAGGGGAGCTATGACAACTGATATTGTCGAAGTGACTGGTTTTGTCACTTGTCATGTTGAGAGAACCTTTGTAATTTTGAATTGAATTGACGATTAGATCTTTACGTCTATGTTTAGCAACATATGTGCACTCCTTAGAGACAGCTGGCTTTTGACACGAAAAAGCATGTGGTACAACACCAGACTTTAATTTCTTATGCTTCACATTGTTGGTAATCTTGTATTGCATATAATTTTCCATGTCCTCTTCCAGCCAAAAAGAAAATCACTCAGTAAATTCATAATGTATTAAATTTTTTTCTTTTAAATGAAATAAAAAAAATTTCAAAATTTAAATATTTCTATGTCTTAGCTGGGATCAAGCCATTAGGTGAAAAATATTTTATTTTATTTGGAAATTTTTATTTTATTTATTACAGCAAATAATTTGAATTTATTCAGAATCAAACTGAGCATGAAAGTTACATTTTAAAATTTAATGCTAAACTATGTTTGCACAATGCATTTTGCAAAATATAAATTTTTAAAAAATTTTTTTTTCTTTTATGTTTATATCATATATATATAGTTTAAATGTATATGTAGTGTATAGCAGTTGCATCCTCCCCCTTGAGAAAATTTTTGTGGACAACATTCAGCATAATGAAATAAAATTGAGGAATGAAAAAATAAATGTTGAAACTACTTTTTTTGAATAACTTTTGAAGTAAATTCATTTTTCTTTATTTATACTGGTTCATTTTTACTTAAATTTTTCTATATATAAAAGTCTGAACTGTTTTGAAAGTTTTCATTTAATGAGTTGATCCCAATTAGAGAGAATGGAATGAATGGTATATGACCAGGAGTTATAAATTTTTAGATAAATAAAATTTTTAAAAAAATTCTTTTTTTATTATTAACTTCCAAAATATTTTCTTGATTTTTTTTTCTTTTTTGAAGAAATTTAAATAATGCTAAACCCCTATCATTCTATATTTCAACTTTTATAATTTTTTTCCTCTAGATAAAATTAATTAATTATTTTTCAACTCAAAAATTTTGATTTCAATAAAGTGAAAAGCAAGAAGACTACAGATATTTTGAATAAAGAAATTAAAGCAGAAGAAAAAATATAGATCAGTAATTAAAAAGAAAATATAGAATAAATAAAAAACCTGTACACCACTGTTCCCTAAGAATGAAATCCTTTCATTTTAAAGAATAAAAAAAAAGTGATCTGAACAGCATTTCATAAACATTTCAATTCAGTATAATAAATTATTCATCCAGAGAAGCTTATCAATCAGAAAAAAAATCTTATAGAATTAAATAATAATTAAGTAACTTACTGTAAAATGGTCTTCGCAACAGTATAATGCAATAGTTGCAGACAATTTGTGATTTTTCTTATTGCGTTTGATGGCTTTGCACTAAACTTGTCTTTTTTCTCCTTTTGGTACACTAAAAAAGAATTTATTTGGCATGTTTAATGTAGAACTATTGCAACAACATGGCACAATGCAACACTTGTAGTTTTTGCTTGGAGCCATTTTTAAGAATTTATACTCGGCGCAGCACATGCTTCCGCTGTTTCGAAACATGATGGGAGTCGTGATTGTACTATATTGTGACGTCATCAGAGCAGATGGGAAACCTAGCAGCGATTCAGGGGGCGGGGCTAATCGAGTGATTTTAACTATAAATAACAAAATAACTAGTTATCGCACTGGTCTGAAATTGGTGTCTATCTTTATAAAATGGCATGATGTTTAATTTCAAAACACAAAAAAAAGCATGCAGGTTCCTCATTGTGAATAATCAACCCCATAGGTTCTCATGACTTACAGGTATGCATTGCTTTTTTTTCTGTGAATCATGGGAGATTTACTCTCAAGGAGATATTAACCCCGTTTCCTATCAAGTGATAGATAGGTGTTAGGGAATATAAACCTAATAATTGAAACCGACTGAGGACTAAAAGCTCCTATTCAGTATCATATGTCTAACTTGAATATCTGTGCTAATAAGAAAATTATATTCATTTATCTGTAGTTTTATTTAGAATTAAATATTTATATCAAACTTTTTTATGTATTCTTTAATATAGAAAAAATATTTTTTAAATAAATATCCTTGTAGATAGTTATTGCAGATTACTTAACTATATCTATATCTTTTAAAATAATCTAAAAATAATTTACGGTGTGAAATTTCATTATTAGGGTATCCTTCCCGTAAACGGAAAACTCTCATTGGACAATTATTTTGGTCTCAAGAATGTCCGCTTAACCGACGTTTCACTGCATATATAATTTTAAAATTTGCAAAAAATTTGCAGCTCTTTCCTTTTTCTCCCCTATCCATTAGAAACCCAGTTTACAATTGGTTAATCTTTTCATTTGCACAATAGTATAAATTGCATACTTATAAGATAGAAACTTAATATTTTTATAACTTAATAGTCTGTCATTTTTTTTCAAATCATAAAACTTACTTCTTTCTTCCATTCACAATGATGCACATTCTTTTTACAGCATAATCTCAGTCATCAATTTTGTTTTTTGCTTCCAAAACTCCAAATCTGCCTCTTCCCAAAATTGTTTAAAATGAAATTCTTCGTTGAACCTAAGACAAAATAAACATATGATGTAATCACAATCCTCTCAAAATAAACACTTACAGTTATATGTGTTTAAGTCAATAAGCTTACTGTAACATTTCATTATTTAAAATATTATTAATTATAGTAAACTTATAAAAAACAAGAAGCTAAACCGCAGCTCAAATTAAATAAAGCAAACCTCAGATCTAATTAAATTTTAAGTATGAACTTAGAAAAAAATAATCAGTCTCCAGTTCAAAAATTATAAAAAATATAAAAAAACTATTTCAAGGATGCCAACCTAAATGATGAAGTCATGAATGAAGTCAAAAAGCTTTTCTTCACTTGCAATATTAAAATTTTAAATAAAAGATTCAGTCGACATTTTATGAGGTACATAAAATTTTCCAGAAACATTAAAATCCAATATGAATTATTTAATTGATATTCTACGAAATATATAAAAAATTTTTGCTTTGAAATTAAATCTTTATATGAATCATTCAATAATTATTGTACAAGCTATGTTTTCAACAAACAAAAATATTGAAATATTGTATTAAAAAATAATAAAATATAGCAACAAAATATTTATTAAAATTTTTAAAGTTCCAAGAATATAAAAATTTCGAAACTTTTTTTTAAAAGAAATAAAAAACCTCATTATTTACAAAATTAAAAACTGTTCACACCCCTCCTATTCTAGTAGGGGTTAGACAAGTGGCAACCCTAAGGTTTGGAAAATTTTCCCCATACCTTTATCTGCAAAGTTATAAAAATATAGATAAGCAACTGTATATCAGCTAATTTTCATTATTAATTTTACCATAGATAGCCAATTCATTGCATGAATGTCACAATGTGACATAGAATTTTACTGTAGCACACAAGGGTTAATTGAAAAATTTAGAAAATAATGTGGTTTTCAGGAACTTTGTAAAAATAGTAAAAACTCTACTATAGGTAAGGCTGCAGGTCTGTCACGGCGCGAATTTCCGTGAAATTGTCATCTTTTTTCCTAAAATCTGCAAATTTCTCAATATGTCTTGACTTTCGTTATTTTTATTAAACAGAATTTTTATTTTCCTGAACCTTAAATTGAACAAGTAAAATTGATTAGATATTTAGGGCAGTGAATCAATAGCAAAATGACATGAAAATAGTTCAGAGATAAGAGATAATCACAATCTTGTCAAGTAAGGAGGTCTTTCTACACTAAGGGAGGGTAATTACCTTCCTGAAGTCAGTAAGAGTACAAAAGAAATTGGAATCACAAAAGAAGGAAAATGTTATAAATCAAATCTTAGACAGAAAAATTGTTATGCATGCTATTGCACTGGGCAATGAAATTTCTACTGCCTTTCTACATATCCAGTTAATTTTTCCTAGGCGTCTTCTTGTGATTTCTTAAATATGGATCAGTTTCTTAGATGAAGGGGGGGGGAGATTAGCAGTTAGTAGGGACTTGTAACTAGTAGTTTGAATGTAGAATGTTTGAGTTTTCACAGCAATTACTTCTTTCAAAGCAACGGTTAAGAATTGCACGTTGGTGAAGGAAAATTGATTGAGTTTTGGAAATCAAAGACCGAACGCTCCAAAATTGGCAATTCGAAGTTTGTCGGTGCCTAAAAACAGTGTTGACGCAGAAAGATCGTTTTCTAAGTATAAAAATGTATTAAGTGATGAAAGACGAAGCATAAATGAGAATAATATGACTATTATGTACAATACTTAGTACCAAAAATTCTGTTCATTTAAATAAAAATATTAATATTGCTTGAAATTCAAAGAAATACTTTTGTTGTGTATTGTTGAGCTTTTTTTATTATTTGCGCAATTTCTGTCTTTTGCATCAGTTATATAATAAATTCCTTTATGTTTAAAATTTGTGTAATTTTCAAAATTTCCCGCGAATTTGGGGTCTTTTTTCCAGCGACAAACTTGCAGCCCTAACTATAGGTTACTGAAGTGTTTCCCAAAGTGTGGTATGCGTATCCCCAGGGGTACGGGAACAGTTTAGCAGGGGTACGCATTCTTATGTGAAATATTTTGTAACAAACGAAATTTTCAAAAAATTTTATTAAAAAACAAAGCTAGCCATGAAAATTTACTGTTACATATTTTTCTATTGGCTATTTTTTGCTGAGTTAACAGTTAATAATTAGTTTTGTCAACAGTCAGTTGTGATTTTTAACTTTTGAGCAATTTTTTTTATAGAAAAAAATACATTCACTTTTTTATTAGTGGTACATAGTGTTATGAAAAGTTTAGAAAGGGTACACAAAAATCCTAAGTTTGGGAAACACTGGGTTACTGAATATAACAGCAAAGAAGGCTGAACTCCGTGACACCAGAGCAACAATGCAGTTAAACAGTCTGGGCTTGGACATGGGACACACACAATGGTTTGAGTTGAGTCTTTATTATGAACATAATTGAATCAAAATATTGTTCAAAGGTAACTGATATGCACATAAAACAAAAAACTTTGTAAGAGTAATCAAGAAACAATCTCAGTAAAAATAATCTGGGATACAAAATGCAAGCTATAAAGCTAAACTAAGTAATGGCTATTCAATGATTTTTTTAGAACTAATTTTTCAAGTAATTTATTTTTATTTTCCACATAATTAAACTGAGGGAGCCTTTAAAAATGTATATTAACAATTAAACTTAAGTTTTAGTATTGTTTTATTTATTATATTATTTGTAAATCTTCATTACTTAGATTCAGATTAAAAAAATGCCCTTTGTGCAAAAATTATATTTTTGCTTATAAATATAAGCATATTGGGTCGCCCAGAAAGTACACGCCAACTTTTGATATGCAGAGCTAGCAAAAATCCGCCAAAATAATCGAGTTGAAGCAAACTAACTATTCATCAAAGCAATTTGAAGCTTTCCAAATTTGGATTGTATTCCTCTAGCAGGTATCAAATTTTTAATGTGTATATATGATTAGTATTAATGCAGATGGGTCTGAAAAATATCACTCTTTTATCATTGTCAAGTTGAAAAACCTCTCTGTTTCAAAAATATAAAGCGGCTTCCCGGTGAGTACTTTAACAATAGAGCAACATGAATACTGACTAAAATTTTCTTACACATTCTTCATGCATTTGAGAAGAAAATGGGAAAAGAAAAGTTCTCTCATCTGCAAGATCTCCCCACTTTTTCTCTTATAAAAGTAATGTTTTTTCTTACACACTCTATGATTAAGCTACAGTTTTGGGATTTAAGTATAACCCATTCCTTAAAAGAACAGTACTATAAAACTTTGATTTGTCCATACTTTTTCAAACTAGCAGGGGCTAATCAGCTGCAGTCCATGTAAAAATTTCAATTCTTGAAGTAATGAATATGGTATGGGCATGGAGAAGTATTGGAGATTCTAGCATAAGGATCTCTTCAAAAAAGCTTAATTTCTATTTTTCTGATAAAAATGAATATAGCAATCAAATCAACAAAATTGAAGAGGATTTGCATGTCAATTTTAGAGTGATGACGAATGAAAAATTTTATCTGATGAGCTTCTTTCTCCTTACGGAATTGTAAATGTTGAGGATAATTTAGTAACAATATAATTAAGAGATGTTGAAGACATTACTAAAAGAAATGGCTGATGATGTAAATTATGATAATGGCGAAGATGATGAAAAAGTCCTCCAAATCATATGCAGTGAAACCTTCTGTTATGGACACTCCTGCAAAACGTGAATATTTTTTATTCCAAAGGAATCTTCCATGAATACACTATTATGCATATTCTCCGCAATTTGGATACTCCCGTAACCGGACGCAGACAGTCATTTTTGTCCTCTGAAATGTTATTTTCTATCTCTTCAAACCGGACACAACTTTTTCTAAATTTGAAGAAAAAAGATTTTATAAGTCTGCTTTAAATTACAAAAATAAATAAATAAATAAATAAAATAAAAAATCTATGCAGCTTTTCACCATTTTTAAAGCATGTAAATTTTTCACATTATCCATAACTAAAAATATTGTTAAGCTATTTCACTGCAAAAGAATCAATCTTTCTCCTGTCACCTTGCCTTATCTTTGCAAAGAAAGGAGAGACAATGATACTGCACTTGTGAAATAATTCCCACATGGGCATGTTTTGATCTTTTCATCTAGACAACACAGGTAATGCAACCCCTTAAGTTAAAATGACACCTTAAATGCTCTCAATGCTTCTTCCCCACTAAAAATTTCTTTCATTTTCTTATCAGTTTGTAGACTGTATTTAACACAGCTTGGGTAAAAATAAAATAAAAGAGAACAGAGGTATAGTCTTTGAGGTGTTGCTTTGAGCATTGCTTTTTTTCTTCTATGGATCATGGGAGGTTTTGTTTAAATTGGTATTAGCCACATATCCTATCAAGTGACAGGTAGGTGTTAAGGGATGTAAACCTAATAATTGAAACTGACTGAAGACTAAAAGCTCCTATTCGGTATCATATGTCTAACTTGAATATCTGTGCTAATAGGAAAATTATATTCATTTATCTGTAGCTACATCTAGAATTATGCATTTATATCAAACTTTTTTATATATTCCTTTTCATTAAAGAAATATTTTTTTAAAGTTTAAATAACTATCATCATCATCAATGGCTCGACAGCCCAGGGTGGGCTTTGGCCTTCTCAAGAAGTTTTTCCAGGCTAACCTTTTTTTTGTTAGTGTTTCCCAATTTTCAGTTTTTAAGACCAAAAAGGTCTTTCTCTAGGCAATCTATCCATCTCAAATTTGGCCTGCCTCTTTTTCGTGCGCCAACTGGTCTGGCATTGAAAACTCTTTTTGTGGTACAGTCTTCGTCCATTCTAATAACGTGGCCTGCCCATTTTATTCTTTGTTGTTTCATAAAGTTAATAATGTCAGGTTCATTATATGAGTGATAAAGCTCTAGATTTGATCTTCTAAGCCACACACCATTTTTAAAAATTCCTCCTAAAGTACTTCTCAAGACCTTTCTCTCAAATGTACCCAACATAACCTCATCCGTACAAGATATGGTCC